AGTGGTCCAGGAATGGGCATGTGGCCAACAGAGAGCCAACCAGAGTCTCTCCCTGGGATTTCCTTACATGGAATGGTCAGGGAAGAGCTTTTTTCTTTTCTGATTATAGATAGCATGTGATTCTGAGATAGCAGGGCCAATTTTCCTGTCATACAGAGAAGCTTCGATAGGGTCATTGTCAACACATTGCTTCATGCCAATCCAGGAAATTTAAAAAAGAGACAAACTTAAATTTCAAACAGTTCTTGCTCAAACTTTTGTCAGACTTTATCTTCAGGTATTTAAAGGACAGTTTTTACTGTGGTTCTGACTAAGGGACTGATAAGTCTGACCCTATGAAGTTAACTAAAGTCCCTTGACAGACACAACAGGCTGTGGTATTACCCATCACCTATTCACTCATGTCTGCAGACCTGCAGCCCAGATTCCTGAGTTCCACTTTCATATATTTGATTTTCTACTTATTGTTCACACTTAATGTACATTTCAACCTCAACACATCAAGAACTAGACTCCTAATTTCTTCCCTCAAACTCACTCAGCAGATGGCAGCACTGTCCTTTCCACTGCCCAGGCCAAAACCTTGGAGTTACCTTCATGTTTTTCTCTCTCTAACACCCACATGCAATCCATCAGGAAATCCTACTGAATGGACTTCAAAATAGAGCTGGTGTCCATCTTCTGCTCACCACCTGCACTGCCCTCCCCTGGTCAAAGCCACCACCCTCTCTCACTGGGATCCACTTTCTTACAGGCCATCCTGCTACCCCATTCTTCCCCTGTGGCTTGTTCTTAGCACAGAAGTCAGAAGAATCCATTTAAAACCCAAGTCAGGCCATGTGACTTCTCTGTTTAAAAGCATCTGATAAAGCCCCATCTCACTCAGAGCAAACACCCAAGTCCTCCTAACCCAAGTCCTGGTCTGCTAGGCCCTGCTACTTCTGACTCACCACCTGTTAATCTCCTGTTCACTTGGCTCCTGCCTCGCTAGCCTCCCTTCTATTCCTCAAGCTTGCCAGGCACACTCTAGACTGTCTTTGTTCTATCTTTCCCTAGATATCCGTTTGCTATCTTGCTACATCTTTGCTTAATTATCACTTTCTCAAAGAAGTCTTTCCTGACCACACTATTAAATACGTCATCGAGAGTTACATATTTGCAGATTCTGCATCCCGGGATTCAGCCAAGGGCAGATTGAATCTGTGGTTGCAGAACCCACGTATATGGAAAGCCAGCTACTTTGCCATTTCACACAAGAATTCTTCAAAAAGTTCATGGAAAGATTTCTATTATCTTTTAATTCTATTTTTCATGAACTTTTTGAAGTACCCTAGTACAAAGGACTTGAGTATGAACAGATTTTGTTATCTGTGGGGGACGTGGAACCAATCTGCCATGGATACAAAGGGCAAACAGCAAATCCCAAGAACTGCCCCACTCACTGCCAGCCATTTCTCACCAGGCAACCATAATGAAATACTGCATAAAATATTTCCCACCAATCTGCCATGGATACAAAGGGCAAACAGCAAATCCCAAGAACTGCCCTACTCACTGCCAGCCATTTCTCACCAGGCAACCATAATGAAATACTGCATAAAATATTTCCCATCTCTTGTTTGGAAGAACCTGCAAAGGAGCAGACAGTTTTATACTATACAATATATGCTTAGAAGAAAATAAGCTCCTGAAAACAAAGCTGTTTGATTGAGCTGTTTCCTAAAATCATAGACATATTGGTTTCAAACACTGATGGATCTTCTTTTGGGCATAAGCTAGTTCGAGTTAGTTTCTGTCACTCAAAATCAGTAAGATCAAGATTGATATATTGATTTCTGCAGGTCTGGCAAATTTTAAGAATAAAAGTTATTGATTAAAATGGTCTCTGTTTGAATTTCTCTCTCCCAAACATTAGCATTAAAATGTTTATACCCATTTATCCAATGCTCATACTTCTGGCATGTCCAAGGGATGCCTGCACTCCCATGTTTATCACAGCTCTATTTACAGTAGACAAAAGTTGGCAGTTTTCTTAAAAGAAATACTCCTAAAAGCAAACAAACGCCAAAGCATACAGAAGTTCATTTGATGCATTGTTCATACTGGTTAAACATTAAAAATAAACTAAATTACTAGCAATGAATTAGATACTGTATTTTCAAAATGTAGCTCACAGACCTCTGGGGATTCCCAATACTATTTGAAGGGTTTTGTAAGAAGAAAACCCTTTTGTTATAATACTAAGACATTATTTGCTTTTCCCACTATGTTGACATTTGCAGTTTGTGCTAAAGCAATGGTGGGTGAGACTGCGGGGCCTTAGCACAAGTCATGGCAGGGGCGCCAAAATGTGCTAGTAGTCATTGTATTGTTTACTACCATATACTTTGCATTGTTTTGTGTGTGCTTTTATCCAGTTATGTTTAAGGACACTTGAAGCAACAAACATAACAGATTTATTAAATCTTGATACTGAGTGCATGTCACTTTTAATGTTCTATGTTCTGTGTAATGGGAAGAATGTACACAGTGCTTCTGCTATCCACTGAGCCGGACATTGTCTTAAGCAAAGGACTTGCAACTTCTGTGAGTTACAAACTCAACCAGCTGCTGTTTTCATTGAATTCCATTTTGTTCTTCAAAGAATGGCTGCCGAAAAACTATAGTTATGCAGACTTATCTATTTTGGCAGACATTCTCTTTGAAAGAGAAATGAGCCCGTCACTCCTAAGATCACAACTGACAGTGTTGCAAATAATAAAATTCAACCTTTTGAACAAAAGCTAGAATTTCAGAAAACTATCTGCCACCACGAGCTTGACAGTTGGCCAATAAAGACTTTTCTGATGAGATTGTGGTACAATTAATAAATGAAATATTTTGATATTTTATAGTTAATTGTGCCAACATTTGATATTGCATAATACAGTGAACTAATAATTTCCAAATGATCAACTTATCATGTTACAAAATCATATGTGGGTAGAACATTTGTTCAAAACATATGATAAACCAATGAATCTTAAGATGGCAGAATACAAAAAATTCATTGGTATGGGTCTGACTTTCCATTGCAACTAACCTTTAAGATTCTGTCAGGTTTTAATTCTCTTCCTAGTGTTGAGTACTATCAGGTATTTTCTCATTTACTCACTGTTTTTATTTGTCTATTTGTCTTCCCGGATTGGAAAGAGAGCTCCAAGAGGAAAAGAACCTTATCTACATTCTTCATATGTGTCCCTCAGTGCTGATAGTTAGTGCCTGGCATGGAGCAGATGTTCCAAACAATGGTTGCAGAAATAAAAACAACCACAAGATGAATTTTTATGCAGGTATTATCAGCCTGGTTTACCAAGTATTTATAATGACTTGAGAAAATTCTAAAGATATGTGAGTATTTAAAAAAGATTCAAAATTATTTATGTGCAGGTGTATCTAATATCTAATATATATTCTATAACTTAAAATGCATAATATATTACATATATAGAGAGAGAGAAAGAGAGAGAGAGTGTGTGTGTGTGTGTGTGTGTGTGTGTGTGTTATCAGGTATTCCCCAAAATGTGAAACTAACAGGATTTGTGGGAAAAGAAAGTTAGGGAAGACCAGGAAAAACCTGTGCGACTTTGTAACCAAGGCACTGAAAGACAATTGCTAGTACCTGGGGAGATAACTTGGACAGCTCAGGCAGGCAGCTCAGCGAGGCTGGAAGATGCTTCCAGATTTTGAAAACTGTTTTATAGCACATTAGAGCTACTTTCATAACTTACTTCATGTATATTATTTACATAATTGAAAAATTTTCATTTTATATTCAGCTGAGAAAACCAACTTGGGGAACAGAAAATATGGGTCCCCTAAAGTCTGCCACCCCAAAGCTGTATATCTTCAGTGGGTCTTATCACTTTATTGGTCTTCACTGATAAAGAGATTGGAGTTGAGTTGCGTGATCTGCAAAGATGATCCTGAGAATTAGATTCCATGATAGTTCACATCATGATGTAAAGAATAATCAGAAAAACTTCCTATGGGTGGAGTCTTTGAAACGTATAATTCCTGTGTTCTTGCTTTGACCTGCTCATCTACCCAAGATGGGAAGTTTGTTCAATGTCCCCATCCATTACAGGAAATCTTTTCCATTTGGGTTCTAAAAGAACTTACTTTTCAGAGTTTTTAGGAAAAGAAAGATATGTATTTAAGATTATCTGACAGAAAAAACTAGATAGCCAAGCCAATGATTCCCCCCCCCCCCCCCCCCCCCCCCCCCTTA